ATCTCTCCTCTGTATGCTAGAATTCTTAGATCCTGGTAACACAATGAGGAAATCCTGCAGTTTTTAACACTTGGACATTCAGTGGTTGAACTAAGCTTTGCTGATTGGAGAAGGTGCATATGAAGTTGCCTGCCCCATTGTTGAGGATTGAAATTGCCTATTTCTTCCAAAATGTTGGAAAGTTATACTCCAAGAATTTACCTTGGATAATAGATCTGATGTTTGAGAGACTGTTGCATTGCAAATGCTTGTAATATCGCATCTTTCGCTTAAGGTTGTTCTCACTTTCAGGGATTGGGTGCTAGCTTAAGTGGAAGTGACTGCTGTTTCATGGTGGTTTTTCAATACGGATCCATTGTGCTGTTTAATGTCCGTGAGCATGATGTTGATGGATACTTGAAAATTGTTGAAAAACATGCTTCAGGTTTACTTCCTGAAATGAGGAAAGATGGTGAGCCCATATATCCAAAATGTTATTGTCAAGCTTGATATATCTTAATTTCATTTAATTTGGAATCAATATACTCTCTGATGAGTTATATCGTATTTGATTTAAATGTTGATACAATTTTTCAGGATCGATGTTAAAAATGCTATGAAGGTGCACTTTAGTAACTGATTTAAGAATGCTAAGCATTACATTGCAGAGCTTCAATGTCTGCTCAATTTTTAGCCTTTTCTTTATCTGGGTAATACAATGCAAAAGATTCTTTGTAACGAAATTGGTTGTTTGAAGTAAAAGTATACAAGAGACATGCATCCATTGTCAACATGAAGAAGAAAACTTTTATATTGCTTAAGGAGATCCCGATTTCCCCCTTTTGTAACTCTTTAGGCTGCATCCCTCTCAGGGGAGAACCTGGTTTTGTTAGGAATGAACTGTGGCATCTCCATGCTGTGTGAAATCTTGTTCAGTCATGTGACTCCGTGCAGCTTGCTTGCTCAGTCTTGTTTTCTATTAGCTTCCCCTATTTCGGTTAGCATGGCTTCTCCTTTTTGTTGAGCCTTTGGTACTTGGCGTGTTATCTGGCCCTGCAGGCTGAAAATTTGGCATTCTTTTCTGTATTTATAACATGGACATCTTTTTTCTGAAATGCAAAGTTCGGTTCTTATCATCAATGCTAAATTTTCTTGGAGGTCAACATATTTTTGTAATTTGCTAATCTCTTGGACTTCAGGATATCTGAACTTTGTTTTCTGCTACAACAGAATATGAAGTAAGAGAGAAGCCGACATTAAGCACATGGATGGAGGGGGGATTAGATTTCATTATGCTACAGTACATAAATATTGATGGGATCCGAACCATTGGTAGTGTTCTTGGTCAAAGCATCGCCCTCGACTATTATGTTCGACAGGTGAGCTTAACATAAGCTGGAAAATTTCTCTTCGTGAAGGTTTTTTTAATTATGTTTATCGTGTTCATTTTCCTCCTCCCTTAGGTTGATGGGATGGTTGCAGAATTTACCGACATCAATCGTGGCATGGAGAAAACTGGGACTTTTGAGATGGATCGGAAGAAACTTTTTCAATTAGTGGGGAAAGCAAATTCTAATCTTGCTGATGTGATACTTAAACTCGGGCTTTTTGAGAGGTAACAGCTCTGTTGTTATATAATTGGTTAAGAAGGTCGTGACTGTTGGGTTGCTATCACCTCTTTTGAGGATCTTATCATGTCCAGTTTGTCTAGATAGTTAAATATAGGATCTGCTGATAGTTTTCATTCTGTATTTGAAGAAATCACCATAAAATATAGAAACGAAGAAATGGGAAGATCTGTTTAGAAATATTAGAAGAGTTTGATAATGTTATTGACTAGGTAATAGAAGTTATGGAAGTCCGATCTCATTAGATATGCTCCAAATACCAAAATAGACATGCACACACCCTGTCCTTGAGATAGTTTATGAGATGATTTTCATCTCTACCGTGGCTTCAAAAAATTGGCTTTGTTGCTTGATAATTTGAGCTTTTGTCAAGGACTTCGATGGTGAGTTAATTATATAGTCAAAGCTGAAGTATAATGAGCAAGAGAATATCCTCCTCTTATGAAACATACGCATAAGGAAAGAATAGAGCCATAAAGAGGTGCACATAACGACAGTCCCTTTCTTTTGTTGGTCCATTAGCATACACAAGTTCTCTCCTGCCTTCTTTTGCAAGTTGTGCTGCCGTTCATCCAATTGCTTTTGGTGATAACACCTTTGGTTTGACTTTGAACATGACATTGGTTATATTTGTGATGCTTAAAACGAGTTAAGCTTCACTGCCGTTTTAATGGCCTTTATCCGAGTTCAAACAATTCCTTTTATTATCTTATGTGCATTGCATAATGTTGTGGACTCCACGGACTTTTCAGATCAGATATTGCGTGGAAGAATGCCAAATATGCTCAGATATGGGAATATCTGAGAGACGAATTTGAGTTAACACAGAGATTTGCAAGTCTTGATTTCAAGTTGAAGTTTGTGGAGGTATTATCCTTGTAGTCATGGAAATTTGTGTTGGTCAATGGGAAGATTTAAATAAATTGTCTTAGGAGCTGACATCTTGTTCTCTTTGCAGCATAACATTCGCTTTCTTCAGGAAATTCTGCAAAACAGGAAGTCGGATTTTCTGGAGTGGCTCATCATCATTTTGATAGGCGCCGAGATTCTGATATCCGTCTATGATATTTTGACAAGGTCAGCCATTTCTAAACTCTAGCATGGACTTGTAATGACGCGGGAAAGTAGGAAATAGTTTTGAATGGCATAGGTCCTACGTATTTTTGATAGTTTACTGTGAGTCCAGAGCTCAAAATTTTTCCCAATATATCTGTTGTACATAATATAGACATGGACTATCAAACTTGGGTGGTCCATATGCTAATATTATTTCAAGAAGCAATGAATTTTATTGGTTATTCAGTTGTAGACGCTTTCCATTCTTCCCGATTTGCTTGATTGAACTGAGAACATGTCCTCTGAGTGGCCCTAGTACCCAGGAAAAGACATTTGATTGGAAACTCTGATTCATTTTATCACATGTTCCAGAGCGCCAATTTGCATCGTGGATCTCGTAGAGACATCTTCGGACTCGCATGATGTGGCCCGAATTTTTTCTTTTCCCCCTTTTTCCTGATGAGCAAAATCTCTTAGGCAGAGTCTACGGCTCATCTCTGTGAGTGGGACTCCGGTTATTCGATAGTACCTTTTACTCGAGAAAGTATTCGGCGTAGTAGCGCTGACGTGGCATGCATTTTTACCAGAGCCCAACACAATTTGACATGTGTTGATGATCTGGATAAATATAAACAAATAAAAATCTAGCTGGAATCTCTCTCTTTCCCGCGAGCTCCCCCATCTCGTCCATTCACTACCAAAGACCTCTCCTCCATCCACAGCCACGCGCTCAGGCCTCGCCATCTCGTCCTTCTCGTCAGATTCGTCCAGATTTCCAGATGTGTGGAGAGTAAATCATCCTTTTCATGTATGTTGCTCGCAGCCAAGGCTCGACGGAGGGGTTTAGATGATGCCGATGACGGAGTCTTGGCCGCGAGCGCCCAGATTTCCTGATCTGGATTTGGATTGGAGCCATACGACGCTGTGCTGGAATCCTTCTCGCTGCCTGGCTATGGCTACCTCCGTCTTGTATTGTTGCAACAATCGGCTTGAACAGTGGAGAGAAGATGAACCTCGATTTCCTCCGTTTGCTCCCCAGGCATCCTCCACTTTTTTTTCATGGCCTACTCATGAGGTCTACTTGGAGAACAAAAAATGAGGGAGATTTGTTCCTTTTGGTCGGTCCAATGAGAATCCCTTCCCATTAGATATATGGGCTCCAGAGGCGGATCCTCTAGTCCATGCCTTGCCCATCCTTTCCACGCCCGTGTTGTTCTTGCTTCATGTGCTTGCAGAAGTAGCCGCATGGCTCTAGATCTAGCAATGGACGGGCCTGGCCTCGAGCGGCATGTGCTTATCGGTAGCGCGGCTGCGAGCCGCCGTGACGATAGAGGGAGTGGCTCGGCCATGGCCACCGGTGGAGTCATTGGCGCTCGTAGAAATCTGGAAATACGAGGTCCATGGCCACCGATGAAGTGCTGGGAACGGAGTAGGAGAGATAAAAAAAAAAAAAAAAAGATAATGAGATTGTTATTTTTTTTATCTATGTCCACACCATCGACAGGTGGCAATTTTTGATTGGCTTTCAACAAAAAAATGCATACCACGTTAGCCTATGACATGGTATTATGTGACCACTGAATACTCTCTCCTTTTACTCGGGATGAGGCCCCTTAGGGGTTCACACAAAATCCAATCCATCCGGGCCAGGAAGCTAACTCGCAACCTACACAGATCAAGGCGAAATTTCGAGGTGGCACTGTCATCTGGGCAAAAATCTGAAGTTTGCTTGATTCCCGATGCCTGGCAATACATAGTGCAATTGGCCATCCATCCGTTGACTAGATATGTGCTGCTTCTTGGCCACGATGGGACCACCACTTTGAGACCGTACCTTAGATTTCACATCCCTAAGGGGTGATAAATCGGTGGATAATTGTGGACGCGAACCAATATCTCCGTTTAATATACATTCATTCTCTTTAATACTGAATTACAAATATGATCGATTAGACCTAGCTAATTCTCGCACCCGCTCAACCTACTCACTGAGTTTACTACTACTTCATGATAATTTAAGGAGGAAAGTGAAGCTTATAATTCTGTAAAAAGAACATTGACTTAGCAAGGTGCAAGCTTCTCGGAATGCGCCCTTAAAACGCCTGCTAGAGCTGTCCTAACTCCCGTGATCACAACCAGATTATTCTCTGAATGACAAATGAATACGAACAGAAGTCGATTCCTCAATCACATAACTTCCGACGCACCAGGCAATAGTATCTTATCATCATTCAACTGTAAACATAGAAGAACCTCATGAAGAAGCATGTGTTGATGTTAAGAATAGACTGTAAAGCGCAGATGACAGAGAGCTGGTACATCCTTCTCGGTCTCAAATTCCTAACATTCAACTTCCTCTTTGAAAAGAATGCAAAAGATGTACATAAAAGTGACCACATTAGGACAAGCAAAGAACCAACATTGACAGAATCATTCATCTTGCGACGCACATGGTTGTGATCGTTTTATCTCAAAATGGGAATTTACTATGTGTAGTACTGACTCCTGACCTTTCTAGATTCTTATTCAATATGCCAAAACGTTTGAATCATTTTTTTTCCTTTCCATCCATAAAGGCACTGTGTTACTGCAGCAGACGCTCACCCAGAAGCATAAAGGCAAGTGTGGCTACTCATCAATTAAGAAGACAACTCCATTTTCCTTCACGAAGCTGTGAAGAGTGTGATCCACTTCCTGCATGACATATGATAACTGTGCTGTAGCGTATCTGTCTCTCATATGTATATTTCTTGTGGACATATGCATGTAATGAAAAATGGACATCATGCCAGAGAAAGTTAATAGAGTCAAGACACCAAAAACGTGACAACTTGATCCACATCTATCTTGATGAGGGATAAAAAAATTGAAAATAACAGAGGGATCGAAAGAAAAGGAAAACTCACATTGGTATTACTCAGTTCTAAGTTGTAGAAATCCATTTTGTCTGCCCGAAACAGGGGCCCAGCATGCCATGTACCGCGATGGAGCTTCACAAATTTAGAACCAGAAATTCTGAACACAGACACGTCATCCACAGCGGGAGGCACATAGAAGTGACCACACCGAGACTGCTTTAAGTTTTCGGTGGTTTCATCTTTCACTTCCCCAGGAGTTGCGATGGAGGGTTTAGCAACACCAAGATACCAAGCATGCCCACCAATTGAACCAAGACACTGGGTCACACTGGCATGATGTGTTATATTAGAAAACTTGAGCGGTCGATCTTCAATATGCATTATGTAAAACCTGTACAGCAGATACTCCTCTGAATAATTCGGACATAGTTTCCACCAAAGAAATATACGATAAGCACCAATAGAGGCAACGAAATATGCCATCAGCAGGGGAAGACAACAAGATCAATCACTACACTTTTGTACACATAGATTGTTACCCAATTCTCTTCCTATAATGAAAATCTATAGGATGCTAAGACAAAATTAATATAATGATTAAAGTATCTGAGAAAATTTCTTATCTTTTTCCTTTCCCAATTAGCAAAGAGAACCTGCACATTCCTGTCTTGCCAGCAGAACATTACGAAATTTCGGTGCACAATTAGCTTTGTGGCTGTATTTCCACCCCTCTCGTTTCAGACTGCATATGTCGGATCAACATAAAAACCAAAAGAAAGGAGAACCGATCGTTCACTTAGGCAAAAAAGAAAATATAAAGCAAGTAATGTATTCACCCCCCTCCTTTCAGCAACAATCCAGTATCAAAACCAAAAAATTATGAATACTTCATCAATATCCAGGACCAAAAGTGGACTCAAATTCAACTAAACAAGTCCACACCCAATTTCCCTCCTTCATCTGGAAAACCGCTCGAACTTCCAAATGTCTCATGCTTGACATATCAGAGAATTTTTAACAAGCAATCAATTACAAAAGGAGCTGTTGGGCAAACTCTTCTACGTAAATCCACCAGTCAATAACTGATCACTATAACCATTTCACAATAGAACCGCAACTGGTTTGTAAGGATTGAACATGAAATGAGAATCCTCGGCATAGGATTTTCATTCTGTCGCCCGGTTGCCTCGACAGACCATAGAAACATTTAATCAAACACGTATCACGTATCGCCTCGTGCCTAGCTTAGACACCGCATAAGCAAACAAAAAATGACTTTTCCCATTAATTTGCATATGGGTATATGCAAAATTCCTACCGATCATCAAACGAAGCAAACCCATCTACTCGGGACTGGATTCCAGCTATCGACCGAACCAAAACGAGGCCTTTCAGAGTGTTCCGGACGAGATAAGCAAAGGAAAAAAAAAAACCTGGGAATCCCACGACTGAGGTCGAGCTGAGCGTCCTGAGGACCGAACAAGTCGCCGTCCGGGGACGCCTCGACTACTTGGCCGAACTCCCTGAAGGTCTCGGGGGTCGCTTCGATGGGCTTCAGCTTCACCTCCCTCATGACGCCGACGCTCGCTGCGCTCGCTCTGCTTCTCCACGGCGGACTGCGACGTCGTCGATGGAGAGACGGAGGGTGAGGGAAGGAGAGGGCCAGGGACATGGCGCCTGTGGCGTTGGTTCCCTCTCGCTTGTACGAACCTCCATGGATAGACCAGCTTCAGCTCGCATTCGCATGGACTGAGCTCATGTTCTTGGCGGGCTCGGCCCATGCCCAACTTAGACTGGCCCAATTACGCGGTTCTTGGGCTCAAGTGGGCCAAATGCTGTGATTCTTGGGCTCTGTTGGGCCCAATGCTGTGGTTGTTCGGCTCTAGTGGGCCCAAGCTCCCTCTCACTAGCTTTTTTTTTCCTATTTTTTTTTTTTTATGTATTTGGTTTCCTTTATGATCCTTTTTGCATTTTGATTTTAGCTCTTTATCATTTTTTTTAATTTGGAGTTTCGAGTGCTTAAATTTATGTTATGTTCTTATTATGTGTCCTTTGAACCTTACTTCAAGTTTGGTTGCAATGACACTTGTTAAATCACAAACTTTATCGCATGTTGATTATGCATTTCGCTCTCTATCTGTAGTAATAACAATCGTGCTCGTATTTGTCATAACTATTACTTCGTCGCCCATGCAACAGCCTGCAAGTAATAGCTACTAGCGATAATTACTCCGGGGCGTGATAATGTCAATTTCTGCGATCTGTATATTAACATTGCATTACAAATGTAATGGTATGATTATATTCTACATTCAGATTGCTATAAAGGTTGGATGTACTCATTGATGCACTTCTATCGCTAATGAGGATACTTTAACAAATTTGGAGACGTTTACTCTTAACTCTTAAAAGAAAAAAATCAAATGCAAGCCAGCCTTAATTTTTCTACTGCTCTTATTGACTGGGATAATTACCGAATTAATCATAAATCTATTTTATGGATGCCAATTTGATCATAAATTTTTCAATTTTGCTAATATAGTCCAAAACTTTTGCACGAAATTCCAATGCAATCTTTCCAGCCAATTGTCACAAAATATCGTTGATGTGGCGTCCAGTCATCATCAGCTGTCCTGGGTGACATGCTGACGTGGACAACTTTGCTTGAAACGACAACTTACATAAACTGCCATGTTAATGATTTTTAGCGGCAATCAGCTGAAAGGACTACATTGAAATTTTGCACAAAAGTTTAGGACCACATTTACAAAATTGAAAAGTTTAAAACTGAATTTGTGATTATCCCCTTATTAAATACGTCAATTAAAGAGGCATTTCTCCTAGAAAGGATAGTAGATAATAAGTCCTTTGATATTTAGCTCTCTTCAAACGGGGACCTACTTATCCACATGTAGTCTAGGGCCACGATGGAACTATCAATCGCACTTTTTCCTTCCATGGAACTTTACACTTTGGTATCAACCTACATCATTAGCAATGAAGAACTTTATCACGAGACCTCAATGGCATCATTCGTGCTAATAATTGTATAGTTAATATGGACATTGATTTAACATTCAATGGAAGCACGAAGCCGACCGCGAAGCACGAAGCCGACCCCAATAGCGTTTGAGTAAATCCTCAATTAGGAATATCCACTGTTTTCGCTTTTGGGAGGAATAAAGGAAGCAGCTTTGGCAATACTTTTGATTATGCGAGAAAAAGGAGATGTTTTTTGGGTCGGAAAAAAAAGGAGATGTTGATTGGTAGGAATCTCTAATGTCTCCCCATTGCCTTGATTTAGCATCAAATCAATCATATTAATTCTCTATACAGGAATAAGACCCGTGAAATGCACGATGAATAATGAGTGAAATCGAAAAATCTCAACATTTAAGGCATGTTTACTTCAAAAAAATTAATTATATTTTACTTAATTTTGAGTAACTTAAAAAAATAATAAACTGAAAATCTTATTATTCCATAAAATCTTAGGATATATCAAGAAAATTAATGATATGTTACTTGATTTTAAGTCACTTAAAAAAGAGTAAACTTGAAAATCATTATTCCATAAACACTTAGGATATATCATATTAGTACTATTATTTAAATAAACTATATAGATGAGTAAAACTTGAGGATCAAACAGTTGGTGACACAATTTATGTTATGAATTCAGGTAGATTTAACTTCCCCTATGTATAATTTCAGTTTTTTTTTAAATTAGGAATATACTGTAGCATGATAATCAATCTTAATAATTACTGTGAAAAGTGGTAGTTTAATGCAATATACTTGTACTACGAAAAGTTGAAAGAGTCTTTCATTTTTTAAGTAAGCAAACTTAAGAATAAAGAAGAAAATGTATATATTTCTTAGTTTTGTAGGTTCTATCTTGGTTGGATTGCAGCAAACGATTAGCTACTCTTGGTGCACAATGTCATTGTCTTATACTACCTACCATTTTAATAAAAAACAATGTTATCCTCATACTTTTTTTTTTTTGAGTTTCTATTGATTTTAGTCCATCTGGAGAATAAGAATCAATATAAATTTGAGTTTGGAAGAAAAAAAAAAAATCATTGGAAGTCTTTAAGAGAACATCATCCCCTATTGGTTGTTGGCATTCATCTTTACAATTCCACCATCACACACACTCAAAGAAGATTTTGTTTGGAAAGATATTAAAGTCACTGAAAGACTCTCAAAAGGCCACATCACTCCATTCCTATTCATCTCCCAATCACTCTAAGATATATAGAATAAGCTACACAATGGAGGAGTTGTAATTTTCACCGAGTCATTCAATAACCCAAGCAAATCATTCATTGTCTAAACATCCTATGCAATATTAGGACTTGCTTTTAAGGAAAGCTGCCTATGTATTTTGAAGACGACAAAACATTTTGTGTGAACTAATAAATGTACTTAAGTGTGAGGACTACAGATCCTCGACATAAACATGTTCATATATAGATGATGTTAACAACAAGACGCCTGTGCTAGTAGAGAGCTTCCTTAATTTGCAGAGAACAAGACGGTGAGTGCAAAGTGTTAGAGTTGCAAGAACCTTTGCAATTTTGGTGAACAAGCGAGGGACGTAGAGGTATTTGGACTGACCAAATAAGAGGGGAACAACATGGATAACATAAGTACATCAATATGCTGGAAAAGACCTAGCTGCAAAAGTTGATCAGAATGAGATTTAGTAAAAATCATCAAATTTGCATGGACCGCATTGTAGAGTAAGTTCATGCTATGGACGGAGTGGACATACTCCACATACCGGGAAATGGAGACCAAACTCCAATCGATTTCATTCAAATTGAAATTGGGACTTTGGAGTCAATTTCAGGTCTTGGAATCCACATAGAAACATTTTGGAGAAGTCAGAAGGAGTTTGCCATTTTTGGCTAAGTAGAAGAAGTGTCAGGCGAGTTCGAGGAGGTAGTTTGGTCTTATTTCGGACAAGGTTCATTAATTAGCTCCAATGAACATTCCGAGCTATGATTAGTTTTTGCAACAGGTAATTTGACCTACTCGAAGTCTCCAACATTTTGAAGCTTGTAGGGCTATATATGCGTCAAAGTGAGAGTTGAAGGCAACAAAGAAGATCAGAACGATCTCAAACTTGTTTTTACTTCTTTACTTCTTCAAGAAAAGATCTTGTGGAATATGATTGTATTCTCTGAGAGATTGTTGGTGTAGTGATTGTAAAAGAGTGCTGAGAGCGTAGAGTGAAGTGTGTATACTTGTAGAAAAAGTTAAAATCTCTCATGGAGAGGCAACTTCTATATTTAAATGCTATCAAAGATTTAAAGGATTGCACACATAGATCCGAACCTTGATATTGGGCTATTAGAGTTGGGAAACTGAAGTAGGTGGACTGGAAAGACCGGACAACTATAAGTTGATTTCCAGTCTCTTCTATCCTTTATTCTCTTTATATTTATGATGATAGAAATATTTGCTCTGTATATCAAATTTCATCTACCAACATTGTTCCATCCTCTGTACGTTATCTTGCACAAAAGTAGTTTAAAAATCCTACTAAACCAATTCATTCCCCTTCTTGGTTGTTAAGTTCAGTCCATTCAATGTAGAAATTTTAGGACGTGACATGCACTCTAAACGTCTTTTAAAGAGAATAAAGGATAGATGAGAGGACCACGGTGGTTGGTCGTGAGGATATGTGACATAGAAACCGTGGTGCTGAAGGAGGGATGACCTGCCGTGACTAGTGGCAAGGAAGCGAGATTGAGAGTCGCGATGCCGAGGGCATGAAGGCCAGTCGAAGTTGAAGAAGGAGATAGCAAGAGTGATGACAAAGTAGCCAAAGTGGGAATGGATAGACAAGCGACGGAGAGCTGTGACGAAGACAGTGGGAAGAATCACAGTGCGAGAGACGGCAACCGCAGTGCCATTAACATTCATCGAAATGATTTGATTGCACTTTTTGAAAGACTTTAAAAATTGATTGTACCAATCATAAGTTTTATCATTTTTCAGTTGTATTTGATACGTAATAAATTAGGATTCCCAAAGCACGATCTGTCCATTGAGCATCATTTTAGCCAAAAGCAAATCATAATTCACACCACAAGTAAGGATTAATGATTTAGGACTACTTATGCAAGGGATTACCCCCGAAGCAAAGCTCTATTTTGTCGCCCGTAGAATTTAATTATTTCACGCGAGCCAAGCATCGAAAGAAATACTCTGAGAAAGTAATGATATTTGGTGTCGGCAGAAGATCAAGTTGATATTTTCCATACCAAAAGTTTTTCTCTTTTTCTATAAACAGACGGTACAGTCTGAGCAGAGAGACTCCAGACAGCGGCCTCTCGAAGTGGAAACTAGTGAGGAAGTTTGGTCATCCTTCCTTCCTTGCAAGTTGAGACTGGGAGGGCGAGAGTGGCTTCCAACCTTCAACCTTGATTTCGTCACGAGGCCCGACATCACTGTAGCAAGCAACCCTAGTTTTAACAAGGACAAAGAAACTTTTAACATTTTAGAATCTCTTTGTTCTGAAGATAACCCTAGAAAAGATGTAAATCCCTTCGCCAGAAAGAAAGCATATTATAAAGGTTTTGATTCTGATTCCCGCAACCAACGTACCGCTAGCAGAAAAGAGCTTCTTTTTCACCTTTCGGAATCATTTGAGCCGGGTACTACAGCCCAAAATAATTGCAGGGACAGAACTTTGGGGGTACATCATTTTGTCATATG